AAAATGTCGTCTGCTAGCAAGTAAACAAAGGGGGATAACTCTTCACAAACTAATGAAAAAGGACCATAGGCGGATCCAGAGGGGAGGGTCCAGGGGTGCGCACCCCCCTTTTGTCCTGAAAGTTTATTAAATGACCATTGAAACTCGGGTGAAAATGAAGTGTGCACCCCTCCTTTTCTCAATAGTGTGCACACACACACACACACACACACCCCTTCTCAAAAAGGTGTATCCGCCCCTGAGGACTAACAGAGTTGTCTCTCTTGGTCACGGTTGTTTATACTAGAAATCCAATTGAACATATTCCTAAAATTCTCAACAATTTCTGGTCATACTATATTTATGGTGAAGGGTTGAGATTTCAACAGTAACCTCACAGGAGTTGGGGGTCACTTTTTTTGAGAAGTAAGAAATTTGGCCTCCTTTGCATACATAAAATCAACTACTTTGTATGTTAACTGCAACAAACCTAGGTGGAATTAAAGGACAAATTCATTGGCTTTTCATTGTTCATTTGCAGGGGGGGGGGAAATGAAAAAATATTTAGAAATTTTTGCTTGCTCTATGCTACCAAGAGTAGATGTTATTGGATGCTCTACCTTCGACATTGTAATGTGCCTCAGCATTTACTTACGTTCGAGTGCCACCAATATGTACGACCTCTCGGCTTCGGGGGTGAAGCTAAAATATCTTACGACAAACGTTTCCGTTGCGAGCGAGCGCAAAACAGACTGATTTCGCGCCTCTCCACGCCCCTGGCGGCTGCCTCACAGTAGCGAAGGCAGTGTAGCGCCAGCGCAGCATACCCAGGGAACCAGGCCGACACCCAGTCTGTTTTCGCAAACGCACGATCATATATACTCCTCACAAAATGTTAAGCAACACAAATTTGTAGTCTCATTACAATTTCATTTATTGAAATTGCAAATCACTGAATGATGCAATAGAAAGGTGAAACCTATGTACACACGATTAGCAAAATGAAATGAAATAGTTTTGAGCAATAATAGACTTACAAAACATCAAAAGCATGTACCCGCGAAACAGTCGTGCAAAATGTGCTGCATTGATGGAGCAAAATGTTAACATTAGGTTCAAGTCAGCTTTGGACAGTGAAGCAGTGTTCAGTAACGAGTATGACTACCATGAGCACAAATGCAAGCCTCCACAGGTCTTTGCATTGACCAAATGAGCCTTTAAAGTTGCTGTTGTGGAATGTTCTGCCATTCTCTCTGTAACGCCTGCTCAAGGTCATCCAGAGTCTGAGGGTGAACATGGAGACCGTAAACACGACTACCAATAATGTCCCAAGCATGTTCAATTGGATTCAGATCAAGTGACCTTGCAGGCCAGTCCATGTGTGATGTTGTTGATCTAAACAACATCGTTAACAACTCTTTCTCGGGCATTATCATCCATAGACGGGCATTTTCATCCATAAAAATGAAGTTAGGACCCGCTTGTTGTAGCAGAGGAATGATTACAGGTAGGTTTACACCGATCAGGGTGCATGTGTGAAGAGTGGAGCACATTCATGCCACACATTTTGCATGTTGTTTCTGAGGGTGGTTGTGTTCGAGTGATGTTGTCAATGTTATGAGATAAAACAATTTGACAGTCACTTAATGTTATGTATTCTTTCAATATTTACCTTTCAGTAACATGTCGGCAAAAATCGCTATCGAGATTGATAAGAATATTACACTGAAAATACTTGTTGCTTAATTTTTTGTGAGGAGTATACATTCAAATCGCTATTATTGGGTTGAATTACAAGACAAGACAAGATTTTATTAGGTCAAAGACCAATACAATATATGTATACTGAATATTCGTCTGTGCACATGGCGAGGTACGTATCTAGAGAGCAATCGTATTGTTATTATCATTATTGCCCAAGAGTGAGGATATGTGTGAACGATTTACAAAAAATCAATTTTGTTTCTTTCATTTAAGATATAATAAATACACTTTGCAACTTTCAATATTTCAGAACTGTTTTAACATTTTTACAATTTGATAAATTTAAACATACTTATATTTTCCAATAAAGTATTACTTAAATGCTGTTTACGTATTTCTCGTTATTTTGGACAAATCAAGAGTACGTGGTACTCATCTTCTATTTCGTTAGTACAAAAGGGACATAATCTATCAGCAAGTTCGATTTTAGGCACACTCCATCTTCCTTTTTCAATCATAAGCATATGTGAACTAAGTCGGAAACGTGTAAACGCAATTCGGTAACATCAATATTAGTTAAATATTTTTCGATGCACAGAGTTTCCTTAATATGAAGATACAATCTAGTTTCACTCAGAGTTGATAATTGATATTTCCACACTTGAGAATAAATGTCCTAAGCCCTTTGCGTAAATTCTCACAAAATCACAATTTTCAGGAACATATTGCACAACCCAAATATAACCAAAACCAAACCTGAAGAGCTTATCTCTCCATAAACTTGCCCAGTTTTCAACATCAGGGTTCTCATTTGAACTATTCAATAATGAATTATGTATCAAAACTATATATCTATCTGGTTTACTTCTCAAAATCTTAAGCCAATATTTGATAATCCTGACAAGACGAATAACTTTCAAAGGGAATGTACCCAATTCCCCATATAAGAAAGTTAATGGAGTTGACATATTGACATATATACTCATGCCAATAATGGTTGCCAACCCCTCCCCATCAACCCCCCACACCTCACACCCCCAACCCACACCCCCACTCCAATTAAAAAAATTGAAGGGGGTGACAACCATTATTGGCATGAGTATGTAATATATGTTTCATAAATTCCAAGTGTACCCTTTCGATAGCAAGGGGGTAAGCACAGTAGTTGGAGCAGTGAAGCAAATGCACGTGCGATACGCGTTATCATAGACCAACCCGACATGTTCTCGATGTTTCAATTAATGTACATATCCCAATGTAATACAAACCAATAATAGCGATGTGAAACTATGATTATTTGTTAAACAACGTTTATCCTATGTTGAATAAAATTCTGAGATTTAAATGGTCATTTGGCAAGGTACAATTATGAGGATTCGTAATCTTATTTTCACTTTATTCGATTAACTGTTTTGTTTAAAGTGAGATTCATCGGTACGTTTTCACTGCAAACAGACTAAATATGTAGATTATCCCAGGAATGATACCGATATTTTACGATGCTTCATTCACTTCATGCATGGTTACCGTGTTTTCATTGACTTTGACTGACTGACTGGCTGAGTATGGTTGTACGCCGTTTTTAGCAATATTCCAGCAATATCACGGCGGGGGATACCAGAAAGGGGCTTCACAAATTGTACCCATGCGGGGAATCGAACCCGGGCCTTCGGCGTGACGAGCGAACGCTTTAACCACTAGGCTACCCCACCGCCCCTCATTGACTTTGAAACACATTCGTGATAATAAAACTTTAAAAATGGTATTTATTTCACTTAGCTTTAGTTCCAGTTAGATAATCGCTGTATAGTATCAGATAAAATAATTATTTCCTGTCCTGATATTACTGCAATATTGCTAAAATATACGTTCTCACTCACCTTCTGTAGCTTCTGACGTTCGTTTGTCCCTATAACAAGCGTTTGTAAAATACCTCATATCACTCAGTGTTCCGACAGTTGTTGCGCTAACATTTCTAAAAGTGAGTTAGTTTAGTTTTACGCCGCACTCAGCAATATTCCAGCTATATGGCTGCGGTCTGTACATAATCGAGTCTGGACCAGACAATCCAGTGATCAATGGCATGAGCATCAAACTGCGCATTTGGGAACCGATGACATGTGTCAACCAAGTCAGCGGCCTGACCACCCGATCCCGTTAGTCGCCTCTTACAACAAGCTTGGGTTACTGAAGGCCAATTCTAACCCGGATCTTCACGGGTCGGTGACCCACAGCCTAAAATGAGTTCAGCTGAAATACTTGGAATACACACTGGAATAATAAGGTTGTTTATAACGACACGGTGGCATATAGTAACAAATGAGGTCATATGCCATACATTAGACATGGGCTAATTGTAATGTGTAATTGTAATTGAATGTAATTAATTACAAAAATCTATGCAATTGCATGCAATGTGTAATTGAATGTTCAATATGTAATTTGTAATTGTAATTTAATTAATTAATATCTCAATGTAATTGAATTTTTCAATTTTTACTTTTTCAAATACATCAAACTACATCTCACTCTTTTGTACTTTGGTGGTCATTAGGCAACCCTTGCAATTATATTCTGTACAATAAGGAGGACAAAGCAGTGTTCTTCAATTAGATGCTTGTTGTCGGTATATACTCTAGCAGTTTCAAAGTACTTTTCAACTTACCAGAATTTTTAAACGTAGCATTTATGTGATTTTAAGTTATGGCTTAACTTTCATACAATCGCCAGCGGCTGAAGGGATGGTATAAATCCAGCTAGGGTCCATGCAGGTAGAAAAAGTACTGTAAGTCCCCATGGTCCCTAGTATGGTGATCTACGTTTAGTTGCTGGCGATATATAGCCCGTTTTAATTGTATTGTCCTAATTTGAAATCCTGTTTTCAGAGATAGATAGTAGTTTTATTCTTTGTGTCTGTGATATTCTATTTGGTTTTACTGTGCTTCGTTGACAGGCTTTGAGTGATTTACATGTATTCAAGATGAAGTTAAAAAACAGTTTTAGCCCAATATGTGATGCCAATGTGACTTTAAATTTTAACTCACTCACTCACTCATGGTGTATATTTATGTTTGTTCTTAAAGTCTACAATAGTCTCTCATAACCCTAAACGGGTTTCTCGGGCGGTGGGGTAGTCTAGTGGTTAAAGCAGTGGCTCGTCACACCGAAGACCCGGGTTCGAATCCCCACATGGGTACAATGAGTGAAGCCCATTTCTGGTGTCCCCCACCGTGATATTGCTGGAATCTTGCTAACAGCGGCGTAAAACCAAACTCAGTCAGTAAACGAGTGGTTCACTTTATTCTGTATTACAGCCTATATATGTCCTGTATTTTACAAGTGAGATGAGACTCAAATAAATAATCTGTCTGTCTGTCTGTCTCTAGAGGGTGTTAAATTTTGAAAGAGATTTGAATGTATAAGCCTTCGTAACTATCACCAGCTGCACATTTGTGAAACAAAGGGAATCAGTGACGCATGACTGAATTTAGGTTAGTATTTGAGGAAATGGGTGATTAACAGTACTATTAGTCAAGTTCCTATCAAAATGGTATCTTTGTTTATTTCTCATAATTAATTACATGACAAATTACTCTTTTTTTTAAAAAAACCACAAAAACAAAAAAAGATATGAAATTCAAAATCTCACTGAACTGTAGTCCTATTTTTATAATCATGAAATGTAATAAGCCATAAATCTAAGTTGACAAACTCTTAAGTATATTAATGTGGTGAGGTGAGGTGAAATTGGGTTTAACGTCGTGCTTGAGAATATTTCGCTCATATGACGACGTGCATGCGTGTGTATGTGTATGTGCGGCTGCTTGCACTAGCCCAGACTTAAGCTGGTTTTATAGTGCTAGCCCACTGAGATACCATGCCGCAGTGAAGCATGAATACCCCACTCAGATACATTATACTGACTCCCGAGCCAGCCAGTCCTTGTTGTACCCAGTAATGCCGAGCGCCAGGCAGGGACCAACAAGTACCATATGTTAACGTCTTTTGGCTCTCCGGGCGGACGCTCTAACCACTGACTGACTGACTGAGTTTAGTTTTACGCCGCTTTTAGCAATATTCCAGCAATATCACGGCGGGGGACACCAGAAATGGGCTTAACACATTGTGCCCATGTGGGGAATCGAACTCGGGTCATCGGCGTGACGAGCCAACGCTTTAACAACTAGGCTACCCCACCGCCCCCTCTAACCACTACACCACGGACGAGGTCGTATATTAATGTGGATAATCTCATTTTGCATTTCACTTTTTGATGACAAAACTGTGAACTGGATTTAGTGACCACGTTTACCAACATCTATATCTTGTTGATTAAAGGAATGCAGAAATATATATTTCTGTTTTTGCGGGGTTTTTTTTTTTTAAAAAGTAATTTGTCATGTAATTAATTACATTAGTAATGTAATTGTAATTTAATTAATTACATTTCAAAGTAATTGAACCCATGTGTGCCATACATTGGTATATAAGATCTGATATTAAAGAGACTGTCTACTCAGTTTCGGTCCGGGGTCATATCTATAACTTAACATCCGATCATGTCATATTACTATAGACAGATTAACGCCCTTCAAGTAGGGAATATATAGTTGAACGAAACCTAATATAAGCACATTGAAGGAATATTCGCAACCAATTAATATATGAATGTTACAGAGGAGATATTAAATGGATCTAAACGGTTTTGATGGACAATGAATTACAGCCAGTATTCACATATACACCGCCCCAGTAAGGACATTATTGTGTCCATATATAATGGTGGCGAAATACCAAACAAAGAAGAAATGGTTATTCGTTGGAGAAGCGTTTGAGGCAAAGGCCTGACGTTTGCACCTTCATAACATTTTGATAACGTGTGTTACAGTGTGCGAAATAGTTTCCAGATTTTGCTAGTCCTCAAAATAATTCACTAGCCCGAAATTTGAATTTAGAAACTAATCAATGATAACACAAAGGTAAAATGCCATAAAAACACAAATGAGAAAACACATCTCTGAAGTTCTGAAACATTTTGCCTTTGCTCAAATATCGTCAATAAGTCACCATTAAGCTGCATATATAACGATCATTTTTATCAGACTTTTAAAGTTGCATGATGTAAAAGTGGATTATGACTTAACATGTCGGAGTGAGGGATATATTTACAAACTGACCCCATGAAAATCCACTTGACAGTCGGTCCAGTGACTGTTGAGATTGACTGCCCGACTGGATTTTTACTAGCCACAGGCTAGCGGGCCAGTGGCTATTTCGCACACTGGTTTTGTTATGTTTTCGTCAAATCCGATTTCCAACATCCTTCGACACGGCAGTTGTGATTAAAGTATATTAGTCCGTTAATAGTAGTGAGTTTGTTATGTCTTTCAGTCCGTTCAAAGCGTGCTCATTATATCCATCAATTGTACGTTATATTGCATGCATAAATGGCCGGGGCCAAAACAAATAGTTCGATATATTCGTCAGTCCGCTAACAGGGTAGTTAACTGTATCTGAATTATGACAACTTCTTTTTATTCTTCATACGACGTTTCTGAGCTAATTCTTGCTCCTTCATCGGGTGAATGCTGAGTAAATCTTGCTCCTTTCTTACATTCACGTGATGAAGGAACAAGAACTAGCTCTGAAACGTCGTATAAACAATAAAAAGAAATTGTTATCCATAAAAACGTGTCATGTACATATATACAACACATACTACAGTCCGTTTGGCTCAAAAGCGGACCGATGAATTGCAATCTAACTCGAAAACTAATAAACATAAAATACTCAATGAAACGCTGATCATAATTAATCGAGAAGCACGTTCACAGACCACGTTATTTATTCATTAACCTGTGCTGTGCCGTCTCCATCCGTTCTCGAACACCTGGCTGTCCCTTTCTCTGCACTCCTCCCTCGTAACAAATAGTGAACTGTGTCAATATTTAAATGATAGATTGTTAAACAACTTTTTTATTTTTAGGACAAAAATTCTGCAAAAACCTCACAGAGTTGGTATGATGCTTTGATTATGATCAGCGTTTCATTGAGTATTTTATGTTTATTAGTTTTCGAGTTAGATTGCAATTCATCGGTCCGCTTTTGAGCCAAACGGACTATATCTTGAAACGTCTTTCATTCCTCACATGGGTACAATGTGTGAAGTCCATGTCTGATGTCCCCCGCCGTAATATTGCTGGAATATTGCTAAAAGCGGCGTAAAACCATACTCAGTCAGTTGTAACGTCTTTCGGGATTACGTGGGTTCGAACCACCAACCTTCCGCTTTCCGAGGAAATGTTTCCTCCATTACACCACGGTGAATATCTACACTGCTGAAACAAAACCAAGGTTGTGATATGTTTTTTACTCTTGTTCACTTATATTTGTGGTTAGATGAGATGAGGTGAAACTGGGTTTTACGTCGTGCTTGAGAATATTTCGCTCATATGACGACGTGCATGCGTGTGTATGTGTATGTGCGGCTTCTTGTACTAGCCCAGACTTAAGCTGGTTTTATAGTGCTAGCCCACTGAGATACCATGCCGCAGTGAAGCATGAATACCCCACTCAGACACATTATACTAGCGTCCGCCCGGAGAGCGGAAGGTCGCGGGTTCAATCCCCGACCGCGTCATACCAAAAGACGTTAAAATATGGTACTTGTTGGTCCCTGCCTGGCGCTCGGCATTAATGGGTACAACAAGGACTGGTCGGCTCAGAGTAAGTATAATGTGTCTGGGTGGGGTATTCATGCTTCACTGCGGCATGGTATGTCAGTGGGCTAGCACTATAAAACCAGCTTAAGTCTGGGCTAGTACAAGAAGCCGCACATACACATACACACGCATGCACGTCGTCATATGAGCGAAATATTCTCAAGCACGACGTAAAAACCCAATTTCACCTCACCTCACATTATACTGACTCGAAGCCGACCAGTCCTTGTTGTACCCATTAATGCCGAGCGCCAGACAGAGACCAACAAGTGCCATATTTTAACGTCTTTTGGTATGACGCGGTCGGGGATCGAACCCGCGACCTTCCGCTCTCCGGGCGGACGCTCTAACCACTACACCACAGATGCGGTTTTGTGGTTAGAACTGGTCTCCAACGACCTAAGCTTGTCGTTCGAGGCGACACAGTGGACTGAATGGTCGTCTCTGCTAGTGTGTTTTCGTACTCCTTCGAATTAGACGTTAAGGTTTATCTTGACCAGTCACTGGTTTGTGTGGTCCAGACTCACCGTCTTAGTGATTGAGTATAGTGTTACGCCGCTTGTTAGCAATACTCCACAAATATCACGGTAGGGGACACCAGAATATGATTTCACACATGGTATACATGTGGGGAATAGAAACCCCGGGTTTCAGCGTGACGAGCGAACGCTTTAACCACTAGGCTACCCCACCGTCTTAGAGCTGGAATATCGGGCCTGTGTGACATCATAATTCGGGCGCGGTAACGTGACTGGTGGTATATAACCGTTCCACAAGGCTTGGGTGGGTGCTCTCAATATCAGTCACTGGTTTGTCTAGCCCACGTCAGGTTTAAAGCTGAAACATCAAGGCCATGTATACAAGTGTATATCACGCTTGACTACGGGGTTGATTTCGTGCTGTTTTATCCCACACGCTTGTATCATAGCTCATAATATCAATCACTAGTTTGTGCGGTCCATATTCCATTATCTCCACTGAGGGCAGCGTTAAACAACAAACCGACACTATTCACAATCATAATTCAATATTTCTCCTGTAAGTATGCAAATAAGAATGTGTGAGTGAGTGAGTTTAGTTTTACGCCGCAATCAGCAATATTCCGGCTATATGGCGGCTGTTTGTGCATAACCGAGTCTGGACCAGACAATCCAGTGATCAACAGCACAAACTGACACTATTCACAATCATAATTCAATCTTTCTCCTGTAAGTTTGCAAACAAGAATGGGTGAGTGAGTGAGTTTAGTTTTACGCCGCAATCAGCAATATTCCGGCTATATGGCGGCGGTCTGTAAATAATCGAGTCTGGACCAGACAATCCAGTGATCAACAGCACAAACCGACACTATTCACAATCATAATTCAATCTTTCTCCTGTAAGTATGGAAACAAGAATTGGTGAGTGAGTTTAGTATAACGTCGCATTCGGGAATATTCCAGCTATATGGTGTCGGTCCGTAAATAATCGAGTCTGGGTGAGACAATCCAGTGATCAACAGCATGAGCATCGATCTGTAGATGCAAACAAGAAAGCTGACATCACAGAACACAGCCAATGTATAACACCCTTCAAATATTCTAAATACATCCTCACATTTCCAAGCAACGCTTGGTTTTAAACGAACCCTTCTGTTGACTAATCTAATCTATTTTG